CCCATAGCCTTCCACTTGCTGGGCCCTCCATCTGAAGTACCTTCCTCCTCCCTGTCACCATTAACCCTGAAGTGCTTCAGATCGTACTGGGGAGACTCTTCTTGTCCAGAGCACTTCCTTCCTTTACAGGACTCAAATATGTTTGTGAGTGTTCCTAATCACACAGTCATTCAGTAAGTTAAAATAATGTCTGTTTTTTGCACCAGAATCCAAAATCCCTGGCAGATCCCAGAACTTTTTGTTGATATTACATCCTCAGCATGTAACATGAGCCTAGGATATAGAAGGTAGAGATAAACTTTTGTTAATGGATGGATGGATGAATGGATGGGTGGGTGGGTGGATGGGTGGATGGATGGATGGAATGGATAGATGGGTTGATGGATGGATGGATGGGTGGGTGGGTGGATGGATGGATGGATGGATGGATGGGTGAATGGATGGAATGGATAGATGGGTAGATGGATGTGTGGGTAGATGGGTGGGATGGATGGGTGAATGGATGGGATGGATGGATGGATGGGATGGGATGCATAGATGGATGGGATGGATGGATGGATGGGATGGTTGGATGGATGGGTGGGTGGATGGGTAGGATGGATGCACAGATGGATGCATGGATGGCCTGGGGTGTGTCCAGTTATTTTTCTTCTAAGTGAGACTCTACAAAGTTGCCATGGGAACCAAGCAGGTGATATAAGTGTGTGAACTATAGTGAAGTCTGTAGATAGGAGGGTGGGGTCCCTAGAAATTAATTTTCTTGAATCTCTAGATTGATCAAGCTGCACGTGTGCCCATATTTTGACAGCTTTTAATTTCAGCTCTTGAGGAAACTATTTTCAGGGGCTCCAATCCTGAACCCCTTTGAAAGGCCACTCTCAGAAAGGAAGGTCGGCCTGGCAGCTGGCAAGTAGCCACATGTCTTTCTCCAGGGGTCTCTGCTTACAGACAATGAGTTCTGTTCACAGTGAGAAAACACAAGTCCAAAGCCATAGAAGAGAGGCTTCCCAGAACCTGGGAACCAGGCATTGCAGATCCTCCTCCAGGTACTCTGACTTACTTCATAGTTTAAATGAGGAAAAGAGGTTAAAAAAAAAAAAGAATGTGAGCATGTGATGTGACTCTAGCAATTCATTTGTTCAGGCAAGAGAAAGAAGTTAAAAGTTTGTAACAAAGCTATGAACCTATGAACATTTCCCAGGAGCGAAGGAACTGCGGCTTTGAAACTCTGCCTTTTATCTTCATGGGAAAAGCAAGCACTTACAAACTGAAGTAAGTTAAGATTCTTTGCGGCAAACTCACAGATCTTGGCTGCTGCTTCCTGGAACCTCAGGCTTGCTTGCTGATCTGACAAATGTCCAAACGAAGGGAGAGCCATTTGCTATCATTCCTAAGCATCGCGGTATCCTTTGCCTTCCCCTGTGACCTGGGTACATTCCTGCCACTGAGGATCTGTTCTCCTGAACTGTAAACCACCTGATTCTCACTTTCCTTTTTCATAAATCTAAATTTTCGCTGCGTTTTATCTGAGATGCACAACAGATGGGCAATGAACCAAGAAGAACAAAATGGGAGAGAAGAGAATGCCTGAAGTGTTGGGTGACAACTATGTAAAAGGTGAAATAACTCAGAGATGGGGGGGTGCACTGGGCTGGAGGTGCCCCCAATGAAACTGAAAAGATCTGACAACCAACTTGAAATGGAGGTGACATTTTCTTACTAAAACCACAAAACAGTGGCATTTACCTTCAGTGTTTTCACTTGGCATTTTATCCATTACATTTCCTTGTTCTGCATTAGATATTTCTTCCTACTACCCTTCATTTACCTTTTCGTGATAAAGGCAAGTGCATGCACACGTGTGCATTCATGCATGGGTGCATGCATGTGCCCCTGCACCTGAGTGCTAAGGCCAAATGAGGAAGCCAGACAACCTGCTCTATTACTCTTTGTATTATTCCCATGAGACAGAATTTCTTACTGACCTGAAGCATGTCCTCTCAGCTAGATGAGGTGGCCAGCAAACCCTGGGAATCCATCTGCCGCTGTGACTGGGATTATAGATGCATGACTACAGCAGGCTTTTCACGTGGGTTCTGGGATCCTCACACTTGTACAGTAAGTACTTTACAACTGAACCACCTCCTCAGCCCCAAAGGAACGCATTTCAGTAGTGTTCAACCCACAAACTCCCATGATTTTGACCCAACACTGCATTTTACTCTAGAACTCAGTGAGACATTCTTTTTTATGTTTATTTGTTTGTTTGTTTTGCAGCCTTGCTGTAGTTTCCCCTCCCACCTCTCCTCCCAGTCCCTTCCCCCCAGGCCCCCCCCCCGTTCCCATCCCCCCCAGTCCACTCCTCCTCCATTTCTGTTTAGGAAAGGGTACGTCTCCCATGGGTAGCAATAAAACATGACATATCAAGTTGCAGTAAGACTAAGCACCTCCCCATGTATTGAGGCTTGGCAAGGCGACCCAGTATGAGGAGTAGGCTCCCAAAAGCAAGTAAAAGAGCTGGAGATAGCCCCTGTTCTCACTGTTAGGAATTCCACAAGAGGACCAAGCTATTTTGAAACTAACCTTATGAAGCGACAGTATGAAAAACCCATGATACCCTACTCCGAATGTACACCATTCAAACACAGGGACAGGCACTCAAGTGAAGAGTTGATTGACAGAGGAGTAGTATAAAGTAATATAGAAAACACTTAAATAGGACAATGGTGGTTGTTCTTATGCCTACATGATGCCAGTCAGACTCTTTGAAAGTCACACAGTGAAAGAATTGTCTTCAGACAAGCTGGATATTATTTAATGTCTTTTTATGGGTAGTGGTGTCTGTCACATACATGAGAAGAGTCTCATCTCTCATGAGAAAAGCAATGAATAACAATTGGTTTTCAGTCAAAATGAAAATAATTGCTTCTAAACAATTTCTAAGACATAAGTTGCATTAAAACTTCCAAGAACATTCAGATCATGTTTGGGTCTGTGGTACTGATTTTTAGGAGGAGTCGCTGCTTTTATGTTAAAAGGATTTTGATCACAGCTAAAAGAAATTCACTACATTTTGATTTGGGGGGTGGCTATATAAGAATATCTTGTACAATTAATAGCAAGAAATAAGTCAGTAAAATGGAACTCAAACCCTAGGATGAAGGAATCAGGACAGCTAGTCCATGGCAGTTTCTTTTCTCTGTCTCTCAGTGGGGACTATAGTCTCTTCCCTTGGGCTGTGTGAGCTGCTTTTCTCGTTGCTTCCACAAAACACCTGACAGGAGTAACTTAACGGTAGGAGGCTGTGTGTTGGCTCACAGTTGCAGACCTGCAGTGCATCCCAGTGGAGAAGGCACGGTAACTGGAGACGGCTCAGACTGTGACAGTGGGGGTGTGAGGTGACAGCTGAGAGAACGGGAAGTAAGCAGGGCTGGAGTATAACCCTACTGACTCACCGCCACCAACCAGGCTGCACAATCTCCCAAAATAGTGCCACCACCTTGGAACAAAGTGCTTAAAATGCAAACTCTGGGGGCCATTTCACATTCAAGCCATGACAAGAACCCCTCTCTCTCTGCCACACTAAGCATAGATGATAGAAACAGGCCACCAGCAGAGCTCTTACAACTTCAGCTCCCATGTCAGAGGGTTGGATGAGCTCTCTTTCCAGATGGAGCCAAATTTGTTCAGCATGAGTTACCTGATCCATCCCAGGTCACTCAGCTTCAGGTAGAGAGGCAAATTTTCATAGAATGATCAGAAACAATGCAGGCAAATTACATATATGTATTGTTTCCCCATGACTTAACAATTTGACTCCACAACAGCTTCTAAGGGACAAGTGGATAGATGCTCGTTGTACAGTTTGTGGTGGCAAAACACTGGATGTTCACTGATGAGAAAGGAAAATCAGTACCTAGTAGATGCCCATTGCTAACTATCATGCGGAGTTAGACGTGTATTGCTGCTTCACACAGTCCTGTGGACCATAGTGGTTTTGCCAAACTGGCTTTGCCACATACTAACAAGTTCAAATGGTTAGACTACAAGTCCAAAGGTGAAGAACCTCAACTGTATGTTGGATACTCAACTGTTCTTTATCGTAGTAACATGTGAAGAGGTGCCTTAGATCCAAGGTATAGCTGGATGCAATTAAGAGGTGATTCCAAGAAGGTTCCACATCTTTTTCAGGACTAGTGAGAGTCCTTGAAAGCAAGGGCCCAAACACTTGTGCTACGGTGCTAGTTACTCAGGCCAGTTGCATGCTCATTCTGGTCAGACCTATAAAATTTTGGGAGGAACTGGGGCTCAGTGAAGTCCATCAGACAGAGGAGGAGGAGCCCTAAAGTTCAACCATTCTATTTCTAGCTATTTAGAAAAGAAAACCAGGCATGAAGCTGGCATTCTGTTGGTCAACGGTGATCTTAAATGCACAGTACTTAGTGAGGTGGGGGGGGGGGGGCGGGAATACAAGAAAGAATAAAGAATCTATAAAACAAAACCCAGAGCCATTTGCATAAGTGAGTGTGAACAATATGCAAAAATAAAGAGTCAGTGATGTTAAAATTGTACAAAAGAGAAATATTTCCTGCAGCAAAGATGATGTATCAACAATTTAAGAGAAAAACATAACAGAAACAATTCTGGCACTGACCCAAGACCAACAATAGTTGTGTGTATGAATGTGTGTTCATGTGTGTGTCAGTGTACACGTGTATACAGGCGTGTGAAGGTCAAAAAACAACCTTGGTGTCATTCTTCAGGTGCCATGCACTGTTTCTCTTTTCTGATTTAGGCAGATTCTCTTAATAGACTGGAGCTCACCAATAGGCTGGGCCGGCTCCAGGGATCTGCCTGTCACTGCCTCCCCACAGATGGAATTGCAAGAGTGTTTTTTAAACATAAAACAGGGAGCTAACTCTGGTCTTGCATACAAGGCAAGCATTTTCACCAGCTGGGCGCTCTCTCTCTCTTTCTCTCTCTCCAGCCCACAATAATATTTAAGTAAGTAAATAAAAGATGAAGGAGGGCACAGTTTTGGAAGGGCTAGGAAGACAGTTTCAAAGATGTATATGAAGCCCCGTCCATAATCATTTGTAAGCATTAAACTGTGTTTCTGAAGCAGGAATGAAGGTTGTCCAGAGGAAAGCCCAGATGACCTTTCACCGAGAGCCCGCCTTTGCCACAGGTACATTTTCACTCACCACAGGCTCTTCTTCTCTTTGAAGGTGATAATGATGCTCAAATACCTTCTTGACATCAAAACTATAAATTACAGTTCGGTGATGCAATATTTCATCGTTTTCAAAAAATCTTATCTATGAGAATTATTTGCAGAGAAAGTATGTGGGGGAGTAAATGACAAATATTTTCATAAATCAGAGGAGCTTGGAAATGTATCTAAAGGTACATGTCACTCATGGGTCTTTAGATTTCTTAAAGCACTGAATATGATCTGTATCCAGTTCAATTCTCATCTGTTTTCTTTTGCTTTTTTTCAGATATTTGTGAAATTAGTCAAAGGTGGATTAACACAAAGAAGTATCTTTGACTAATGTGGAACAAGGCCAGCTTCTCGTGTTAGAGGACAATTATATACAAATTTTGAAGGATGAATTTTTAGTTATATACCATCTTATATTTTCAGCTTTCAACTAGCATACACAGACCAGGATTACCAGAAGGCGATTTTCTGGGAGAAAAATGCTAGTTGGAAGAACAGCTGAAGCAGGGTCATTCTTAGCCCTGGAACTCTGTGGGCTCTCAGGAACAGAGAAGATTGGATGTGGCTGGAGTTAGGCACCCAGCTACCAAGAGACATGCAGAAGGTCATCAGTTTAATGATATACAATGTCATGGTGACCCCATCTTGTGTTTCAGGATCCACAGTTTACAGTTTGGCTGTTACTTGATCCATGGGAATGCATTGAGAACCATTAGTTCACAATGAATGCTTTAATGTTTTAGTTCTAAGGTTTTTATAGTTCATCTAGAGAGTTCTTGCAAAGGCCATTCTGTTAATGAAATAGCTCCATATTCAAGAACATGGCTGAACACAGACAACCCTGGGGAGTGAGTAACATCTGGTTTGTTGGTTTGTTTGTACTTTAAGCCCAGACCTGTCTGCCTTTTCTATCCATGCTGTATTATTAATCTTCCAGTCACTAGTGAGACAGTCACACATCCAGTACCCATCATCACCAGTTCCTCCATGCCTCTTTTCCTCCCCCGACTGGGGTTGTTTTTAGGAGAATGTTGACAATAGCGTGAATGCACAGGAGGAAACCAGCAGAGAATGTCACCGTGTTCAGATGGCGATTCTCAGTGCCCCTGCAGCACAGGCCTTTGAATAGTCAGTATTACTCTGGGTATGGAATCTACACAAGTAACAGATGCTCTTCTCTGCTGTCTCTCTGTTCCTTCACCCGAACTCAAGATTCTGTCTGACGACTACATGCCAAAGTGAGTCATAGTGAAGGATGGAGATGCATGATAATCCACAAATATTTTGAAGCAGAAAAATTTTACAAAGTCTGGGGCTTAATTTGTTATTGCAATGGTCCTTCACTCCAGTTGTAGAATAAACATTATGTGGAAGATACTTTTTCATATGGTTTATCCTAAGCTAATTGAATTATGGTTTCTCAAAAAGCCAGATGCCTCCTCCAGACTTTACCCCATCAATTCCCACATCTCATCCATCCCACAGACCCAATGTGAGCAGCGTTTCTTGTGCTCTGGCCCAGCCCAGCCTGGTGAATGTGAGCCTCTTAAACTTACCCTGCCAGCACTCACCCTAATCCTCAAATGGGATTAAAGACAAAAATTACATGGTCATTTCAATAGATGTAGAAAAAGCCTTTGACAAAATCCAACATGAGTTTACAAGTTAAGTCCTAAGAGAGCAGGACTGGAGAGGACAGACTTCAACACAATAAAAGCTATATAAGACAGACCTACAGCCAACAGCATCTTAAATGGAGAGAAACTCAAAGAAAACCCATTAAAATCAGGAATGAGTTGGGACTATCCACTGTCTTCATTTCTTTTCAACATAGTGCTTGAAGCACTGGGTGGAACAATATGGCAAGAGAAGGATATTAAAGGGATACAAATAGGAAAAGAAGTTAAATCCCTATTTGAAGATTATATGATGTTTTATGTAAGAGATCTCAAAAATTCCACCAGAAAATTTTCTCAGAAAGATCAATAATTTAAAAAATGTGGTAAGATACAAAATCAGCATACAAAACCCAATAGACTTTTGTACACCAATAAGACACACTAAGAATGAGATCATAAACACACCCTCATTCACAATAGCCCCACAGAAAGAAAATGTTTAGGATTAAAAATAGAGAAGGAGGTGAAAGACCTCTACCATGAAAACTTTAATCTCTGAAGAAGGAAATTGAGAGACTTTAAAAAAAGGAAAGACCTCCCATGCTCACAAATCAATAAAATTAATATTGCAAAATGAGCATCCTACCAAAAACAATTTACAGATGCAATGCAATCCCAATCAAAATTCCCACAATATTCTTCACAGAAATAGAAAAAGGTATCCTCAAATTCACATGGAAACTAAAAAGACCCCAGAAAGCCAAAGCAATTCTGCACAAACAGAACAATGCTGGTGGGGTAAACATTCCAGATGTCATAATATATTATAAAACTATAGTAATAAAAACAGTGTGATACTGACACAAAACAGATTTGTAGACTAATGGGAAAAAATAGAAGACCTCACCATGAGTACATGTACTTACAGCCTTCTGATACCTGACAAAGATTCAGGAAAAAAAAATCTTCAACAAATGGTACTGGGAAAACTGGATGTCCACATGTAGAAGAATGAAATTAGATTTGTATCTATCATCCTGCACAAAAGTTAACTTCATATGGCTTGAAGACTTCAGTGAAAGACCTGAAACACTGAAACTGCTAGAAGAAATCACAGGCAATATCCTATAAGACATAGGTGTAAGAAAGAACTTTCTGGACAGGACTTCATTTGCCCAAGAATTAAAGGCAACAGTTGACAAGTGGGACTTCATAAAACTAAAGGTTCTATACAGCTAAGGAAACAATTGGGTGAAGAGGAAACCCACAGGCTGGGAGAGAATCTTTGTCAAGTATGCATCTGTTGGAGCGCTAATATCTAGACTAGAGAAAGAGCTCAAAAAACCAAAAGATCAAGAAAACAAATAGCCCAGTTAAAAATTAGCTATGGATCTAAACAGGGACTTCTCTAAATACAAAATAAAAAATGTCTAAGAAGTATCTCAAAAAGTGTTCAACATCCTTACCAACTCTCTTACTCCAGGTAGAATGACTGAGAGATATAAAAGAAGTGATAATAAATGCTACTGAGGATATGGAGAAAGGAGAACACTCGTTCTCTGTTGGTCAGAGTACAAATTGATACAACCACTATGGAAAACAATGTCCAGAATCCTCAAAAGGCTAAAAATAGGTCTACCGTATGACTAATCAATACCACTCCTAGGCATATACCTGAAAGACACAGTATCCTTCTACAGAGATACCCACTCAGCCATGCTCATTGTCACTTTATTCAGAATAGCTGGGATATGGAAGAAGCCTGGATGTATATCGACTGATAAATGGATAATGAAAATGTGGTACATCTACACAAAGGATTTCTACTAAGCTGTAAAGGAAAAAATACAATGTTCACAGGTATTTGGTTGGAATTGAGAAATATTACAATGAATAAAATAATGCAGACCCAGAAAGATAAATGCTGAGTGTCCTTTCTCATGTGTAGATTCTAGATCCCAATACAGATCTTTATATTTGAATGCATAACTGGAAGTAATTGCAAAAATCAGGAAAGCAGGAAGGGACCACTGGATGAGGGGAGAAGTGGATCTAAAAAGGGGGATAGCAGAACCCAGGTGCTATGAACATGGAAGTGGAATAAATAGGACTAGACTTAATTGGGGAGGGAGTAGGAAGAGTAAAGAGGAAGAGGAGGGGAGAGAAAAGTAAAACTAAGGATGGTTGAAATGAACACAGGGAAACCTAGTATTCTACAAGCTTAATATTAAAACATTTATATATATATATATATATGTGTGTGTGTGTGTGTGTGTGTGTGTGTGTGTGTGTGTGTGCATTTCTATGAAATTTCCCCACACCAGGGGTTATAAACTAACTAAAACTTCAGTGCCAAGCAAGGGATACCTCCCTTCAAGTTGTTGGTCATGGGGCCCCAAGAAAGCCCCCCAAATCATATAGGCTAATGCCGTTGCTCCTGGTTGCCATCCAGAACATGAAGGTAAGACCCTATTGTGAAGACACTATACTCTTTTTTGTTTGTTTGTTTGTTTGTTTGTTTGTTTGTTTTTCAAGAGAATTAAATTGTTTATTGATTACACATGATAATGGATGATACACAAGCTTCATTCCCATCTGTTATTTTATCTGATACCATTATTCAATTTTGATGTTGTATAGGGTGTGCCCACAACCATTTTATTGTAACCAAACTGTGACTTTGCTTGGATGACCCTTTCAATGGTAAAACTCATTAAAGTTACAACAGTAACTGGCAGTTTAACTACACCAAGGTTTTTGAAGACAATGCCTTCTCCACCCAAGCAATTATAAATAAATTCTAAATGGAACTTGGCACCACCCTGAAGGAATTCTAAGTTCACACTGTTGGGGAGGTTTACCAAGATGGCTTCAGAGTAGACTAACTTTACACAGCACATTTAAAAAGAAAAAAAAAGAAAAAAAAGACACATTTATTCAGCGTCATGATCAGACTATTACATTTAGCAATCAACAGCATGGGTGAAAAAAGGTCTACAGTAAAACCCTTTGTTGGAATGCTTTACACTTTCCACAGAACAGAAACTAAAATAACCTGTTATACAATTAGTCACAAATACAGTCCTGGAGTTTTTTGCCCATACACATGAGTATTGTCTAAAACATGTCTTCTTTGTAGCAGCTAGGCCCTGCCACCACTGTGCTTGGCTGAGTTCACAAATCTGCTGTAACCTGTAGCTTCCCTGTCACTTCTCTGGCTCTCCTCTCCTGCTAAGCTTTGTTTCCTGGCTGTAATTAGAACCTCCTGGCACTGCCATAGCTGCTGCTGCTGCTGGAACCACCATAGCCACCTTGGTTTCGTGGTTTAGCGAAGTACTGGCCACCACCACTATAAGGGCCAGAACTTCTGCCTCCAAAGTTTCCTCCCTTCATTGGTCCAAAATTTGAAGACTGATTGTTAAAATTGCCAAAATCATTGTAGCTTCCACCACCTCCAAAATTGCTTCCATCATTACCAAATCCATTATAGCCATCCCCACTGCCACCATATCCACCACCACCACGGCTGCCACCGAAGCCACCACGACCACTGAAGTTCCCCCCTCGACCAAAATTGTCATTGCCACCAAAACCACCTCCACGACCATCAAAGTTTCCGGAACCACTTCGACCTCTTTGACTGGACGAAGCACTAGCCATCTCCTGCTTTGATGGGACTTTTCTTACCTCACAGTTGTGGCCATTCACAGTATGGTATTTCTGAATAACAATCTTGTCCACAGAGTCGTGGTCATCAAAAGTGACAAAAGCAAACCCTCTCTTTTTTCCACTGTCTCTGTCAGTCATGATCTCAATCACTTCAATCTTTCCATACTGCTCAAAATGATCTCGCAGGTGATGTTCTTCAGTGTCTTCTTTAATACCACCAACAAAGATCTTTTTCACAGTTAAGTGGGCACCCGGTCTCTGAGAATCTTCTCTCGACACGGCTCTCTTAGGTTCCACAACTCTCCCATCCACCTTGTGTGGTCTTGCATTCATAGCAGCATCCACTTCCTCCACAGTGGCGTATGTGACGAACCCAAAGCCCCTGGATCGCTTGGTGTTTGGATCTCTCATTACCACGCAGTCCGTGAGTGTTCCCCATTGCTCAAAATGGCTCCTCAGGCTCTCGTCGGTCGTTTCGAAGCTCAGCCCTCCAATGAAGAGCTTCCGCAGCTGTTCGGCTCTTTGGGAGACTCTGACTTAGACATGACGGCAGGGAAACGAGAGCCTTCAGCGATGCTTCCTCGGGCGCGTCAACAGGCAGAAAGGAGTAAGCCAACGACCGTACCCCGACACTATACTCTTGAGTCACAAGATTTGGAGAAACCAAATGGGTAGTTTCCTGGAAGCATCCTACTTGAAGGTTAGCTTTCATAGTGTGGAGAAGCGCTGTGCAAGCTGCCAATGATGCAAAGCTACGAATGGTCCTTCCCAACCATAAAGCCCGAGAAGCACAGCAGCTTCAGTACAGGTAATACATCCCCAGGAGCATAATAGTGACACATGTATCTGGGGCAAACAACAGCTATCCAATTGGACTTAGTGCTTGCTCTATTGGAGGAAACTCATGCCTGGTACTGTAAACCTACCCAAGAATGATTACTGGAGAGGACATAGGCCCTATAGGAGAACAAGAACCTATTGCTATCATATCAATAAAGTAATATAGTTTCCAAATGCCTTTTAAAAATTATTTTTTAATTTTTGAGATTATGATATAATTACATCATTTCTCCCTTCCCTTTCATCCCTCCAAACTCTCCTATGTACTTCTCCTTGTTCTCTTTCAAATCCACGGCTTCTTTTTTCATTAATTGTTACATACATATACATATAGATGTATGCATATATTCCTAAATCCATAAATATAGGCTTCTCTGTCTTAGACCTACAGTGACGCTCTCATATCTCAACAAAGGAGCTTCTTTTTGTAGTAGAGAGAGACTATTAAAGATATACACAACTGGCCAAAATGCAAAGGATAAGTGACCCTGGGTGTTTTGCCCCACAAGTGACATCTTTAGCCTTATATGGAAAGGTAGTATGAGCCTGAGGACTGGGTTAGTTACTGCATGGTTGTGTCTTCCGCACAACAGGCAAGTTGCACCCATGAAGTCTCAACATTGTGGTTGCAGGCACAAGACCCACAAAGACCACACCAGTCAATACACCAACATGGAAGCAGGAAAATCTCACAGGGCCTCACCCTTAGATGAAAAGCTACAGGCAGGCAATCCACGGCTGCTGAGGGACAGAGAACCAGGGTTTTGCTTTTTGTTTTTAGGGGCCAGACCTCAATTCTAAGTAGTCAGGCCTAAACATACATAAATAAAGACAACACTAATTGAACTCAATAGATTGTGTGTTAACCCAGAAATAATTATAGAAGAGGTTGTGAATTCTAGAGGGTGGTTGGGTGATATGAGTGAAGTTGGAGGTCGGAGAAGGAGAAGGAGAAATGATACAAACATGGTGTACTCATGTATGAAGTCCTCAAGTAAGTAAAAATAAGGTTAAAGCTAAATATGATGGTGTGAAGCCATAACCCCAGCAATCCTATGGTGAGATGGGACACGGATATTAGAATCTGCAGAAGCTCAGTGGCCAGGGAGCCTGGAATACACAGCATGGAAGAAAACAAGAGACTCTGCCTTAGCAAGTGAAAGAGAGAAGTGGCGGCCAAAAGTTGTTCTCTTGGGCTGGAGAGAGGGTTCAGCCATCAAAGTTAAGTTTCATAACCAAAGAAGCTGCCCTCTGACCTCCCCGTGAGCACCTTAGCACATGCACAGCTCCCCCCTCCCCTAGTCTCTCTCTATCTCATACACACGTTCACAATAGGAAGAAAAACTGTGGTTCCTCATAGATTTGTTCAGCATCAATTTTTAATGCATTTCCAACAGTGACTCTAATATGCAATGAAGCTGAGAAATCACTGGGGCTGTCATTTCTAAACAAAATGCCATTATTGGAGCTTTAGCTGGGGTCTATAGTGCTTCAGCACAAAGGGATGCTCTAGGGAGGAAGTACATGAACTGAGTTGGAGAAATGCTTTGGGATCTGTTTGGTACCACATGATGTGATAGGATCCTGGTTCCATGAAGGCACAGGATGCCAGCACTATTTCTTAAATTATCTTTGTGTTGAACCAGAAGGAACTGACCGAAGAATGAAAGGGCTGCTCTACACCCTCTGGTGTGTGCCTCATGAAAGCCTTTTCTTAGTGATTATGCTCTTGCATGGAATGGCCAACTCCATACCACTGGGCTATTGTGTCTAAAGTTAAAAGAAAAAAAACTTGCAACCTTACAATGCCATACCTCTTCATGCTTGATTTACTCTTTAGGCTTGACCCGTGCTGCCACTACTATATTAAATGTTTTCTCCGCAGTCTTATATTTTTAAACCCTTTGAGAAATCTGACATGAAATTGGCCACACAATAGAAAAATTGGGAGGAGCAGACCCCCTACCCCACTCTTTTGTTAGCGTGATTGCTTTTAATTAAGTCAAGTTCAAAATGAAAACCACAGGGGTCTTCTATCACAAGCATCTTTCAAAATCTCAAAATCACACAGAAACTTGCCTGGAGTCTCTGACACCAACAACATTTCTGGAGAGTTGAGTTGGGAGTGAGCCATTAGCTCAAGATTAGAGGCATGTCTTCCCAAATTCCTTCCCCACCTTTTTTTTAAAAAAAAAAATTTAGGTTTTTACTATTTGATAATTTCATACATGTATATAATGAATTTTAGTGCTTTTCTCTCCCTAGTATCCTGTCTCATCACCCTCTTTCTCCCACAGAAATACTTCTTTAATACCCCATATCACTGTGTGTGTAACCAAGAGAGTGCAAACAGGGTTGTCTGCATGAGCAAGAGTGGGAGGTTATCTACTGGAGTATGGGCAACTTGTCTGTC